TTTTAAGCTTGATGTGAAGATTGCAGTGAAAGCGTGTGCAATAATTCAACCCAAATGCCCTATAGGCTGGGCAACTTACAGGTGTAAGGTCAACATATGTAACAATGACACTGAGCAATTCGTTAGTACGTCCTATTTTAGCCGTATCGTTCTGTACCGTTTAGGCAAGATAATTGGTTAACTAGAAACCTGTCGGCTCCGATCATCAGTGATGAACACTAAGGGGGGGGGGGGTAGGTGGAATTAATGAAACTCTTATGAAAACTTGAATTTATTCATTTTTCAAAAAGTGGTGAAAATCTTGTACAAATGTGTAGTGTGGGGGGGGGGGGGGAATGGGTTAATGAGATCAGCTGACGGGGCACAACAGCTGACTAGATCTAACACAGATACCTAGAGATATTGTAGGCTTATAAGTTGCAAGAGAATTTATTATTACAATCAGGCAGGCATTTGCATAAATAGTTACCATTATAAAAGGGCCACTTAGTATAGTGGTCCCGGACCCCCCTCCCCCCCCCCTCAAAAAAAATCACTTTGTACAGTGTCCACTATAGAAACTTCACAAGAAACCTTGTACACTGATCTTCAAGAACCGTCCACACATCTCCTGCTCGTTCTATCCCTCAAAAAGTTTGGTTGACAAACAATGGAAGGAATGTTGAAAACTACTTTACCTAGACGACACTGTTTGCAATATTGTCACTGGAATGTGGCCGGCTACTCACAGTGGATATCAACAGGAGCAAAAAAAAGCTTAGAGCAACAGCATGGAATCCTATGAATTCTGCCAGTTTATTGGTCGTGTCTAACATGAATGACAAAAAATTCACGATGACAAACTCAAACTCATTTCAAAGTCTCACGAATCAAAAAGCCTCATTCAAAGCCATCAAATAAGACGAAATTTTCCTTCAATAAGACTTAAAAGATTTTAATGTATACTTCAGTACATATTCTACATACAGGTATTAATCTAAACCGCCGAGTAACTCTTATCAACACACACTAACGTCTACATGAACAAGCTATTTCAGCCCATAACACAATGATGTTAGGTTGTGGCTGCTGACAAAATTAACTGAAGTTTTTTTTTAATCAAAATAGTATTCTCACTCTCGGCCTCACATCACAGACAAATTTATCCCTATAAAAAAAAAAAAAGTCCAGAATCAGCCCAAAGGTTCAGCCAAGAGGACAAGAAAGAGCACACAAGTTTTGGAGGACAAAAAAAAGCACAAGGAACAGAGTACAGAGATGAAGAGCAAGGTACTAAGGAAAGAGCATCGAGTACAATGTACTCAACAGAGGAATAGTTTCCAAGTGACGTAGTAACAAGAGTGCAAGACCATCCCAAGCTTTCGTAGCTGATGTGTAAATAAAAAAAAAAAAAGAAAAAAAGTCGAATCGAGTCTATTTAACTGCCTTCAAATAAAGAACAAGGACGTCTGTTAGAAAAAGAAACATGTTTACAGAACCAGAGCACAGACAAAATACGGCAAACAACAGATTGGTCAGACAGTAAAACACCGTTTTAGTTACTTAAAAGCGTGTAGAGGGGGTAACACTCCGGATGGAATGACACCCAAGACAGTAAGCAAGAGAGGTCGGACATCACCACCAAGAAACGCAAACAAGCAGAAATACGGTTGTGGTTTGAATGAAAATCTGGCATCAACATTTAAGATAAACTTTTTTGTACTACAGATTAATTTCACGTGTAAATTTCATTTGTTTATGCCACCTGGTGCAAGCAAGGTGACATAAATCACTCTCCCACACTCCCACACCTGGCGTGGGAGAGTGGGAGAGTGTGGGAGGAGAGAGGGAGGGAATTATCAGGGAAAAGCACGAAGCCATTACGACTATATAGCACTTGGAAGGGGGTCAGGATAAGGATTTGGGATGGGACGGTGGGGAAGGAATAGTGCCCAACCACTTGTGGACGGTCGGGGATTGAACGCTGACCTGCATGTAGCGAGACCGTCGCTCTACAGTCCAGTTTGTAGAGTGACACACTACAAGCGTGAATTCACTTTCACACCCGACTCTGTACGCAGACTTTTTCCAATTATCTTGTGACCGAGTAACTCTTGCATGGGGCAGAATGTCTGCTGTTTCAATACTCTTCAGTTTATCCGTCCTGCTTGCTAAATGCCCCTCCCTCTCTCTGACCCCCTCCCCCAGCAAGGATAAACCCCCCCTCCCTCCTTCCCTCTCTCTCTCTCTCCCTCCCTTTGCCGGGGTGGAGTGGGAGCCTTGCTGGGGGGGGGGGGGATTGTGGATTTCAAATAATAGTACGAAGTTAAAATTTAGCATTTAATAATGACAGCAAGAACAATAAGAGAACATGTTAAAAATTAAACAAATAATACACCAACCGATACAGCTGTATCAGTGACACTCACACAAGCTGCCACAGTAACAGCAGCATCAGCAAGGACAACAAAAGCAGCATCAGGAGCAGCAACACAAGCTTCAGCAACAACAGCTGCAACACCAACACCAACAACAACAACAGCAGCAACAACAGCGGTAACAACAACACCAGCAACAACAACAACAGCAATACAAACAATACAACAATTACCACGGCCACACAAAACAAGCACAGGCAGCAACAGGTGGTTAACGAGGGGGTGGCACTTGCCAGGAGCAAACAGGCTCTTGCAAGGCCGACTAGAGCAGTGGCACTCGCTCTAACGTGCCTGGCACTGACATTTCCTACGAAAGCAACGAGTCCAATTACCAATCCGGTCCTCATGAAACTATCACAGGCAACAGCCCCCACTCTGAAACACCAAGAACTCATTAGACTCGTGAGTGAAACTGTTACGAAGATTATGAGGAAGCAGGTCCGCAAGAAACTGGAAAAGGAATTTGGAACGCGTACCCTATGATATCCATATCTTAATATTCTCTTCAAAGAAGATGAAAAGCACAATCTGAGATAGCAGCTTCTGACTGGATTCGAGGAATAGGTGTAATCGCAAGCACTAACGCAGAAATTCTTCACGGATCTTGAGGTGTCGATAGGAACCCTTCGAGTATATGACCAGAACCTTTTCAACTCCTTCAGAGAGGAGTTCAAATACATCCTGAAGCAGCAGCAGGGCAGGACTGTCTTTGTGACAGAACTGACGACAACCGTCTTGGCGCATCTGAAGACCAACATCAACTGTTGTACAGAAGTGGCGAAGTGCATCTTGAGGACAGAAGTCTTCGTCAGTACTTCGAGAAAGGTGACAGATCCCATCCTGAAGGAGTAGAGGCTAACCAACCACATCAAGTAATAGGAAGTGAGCATTCTCCAGGTGGCCACCACAGCTGTGAGACAAGTCTCGAGTCTCGTCCTGGAACTGGCTACGCAGGGTTTGAGACAAGCAGCAGCAATCGTCCTGAAAGTGCAGGTACTGATCAATCTTGAGAATACAGTGGCAGTAGATGATAAGACGCAGAACAGCTTCATCAAACAACACGCACATTTGGTCTCACGCATCTTAAAGTACACTCGACTTCTCATAGCTGTGAGGGAAGCGTAGACCCTCATCCTTGTGGTGATGAGTGTGTTGAGGCAGGGCATGAGGCACAAGGCCCTCATCATTCTGGCCAACGCAGTTGTGACGCACATTGTGACGCAAAGGGGCGCCGGACCTGCAGGGTGACACGTGACTGAATCAACGCTTCTCGCTACAATGTTAATTAAGGAATATGTATTGAAGAAATATAGAACTATTTGTAAGCAAAGGGGGGTGGAGGAAAAGGGGGAAGGGGGTGAAAAAAGGAGGGAAGGGGGCTGTAGGAAAAAGGGGGAGGGAGGTGGAGAAAAGGAGGGGAAGGGGCTGGGGAAAAGGGGAGAAGGGGTTGGAGGAAAGGGGGAGAGGGGGGTTAGAGGAATAGGGAATGTGGTGGAAGAAAGGGAGGAGGGGGAATGGGTGGATAGTAGACGAAGCTAGCGAAGGGGAAGAGGGTGGAGGTGGTGAGGTTGGGTTAGGGAGGGGGTTCATGGGAGGGGGGGGGACTTAACGTAGCGTATTCAAACTTCACACACACAATACACCACACTTTGTACGCTATACGCATGGAAGGACAATAGGGCAGGATAGGAGCAGGGGGATAGGTGAACAGAGTGATTAAGGAAAGATACCTGTGTATATATATATATACATTTTAGGCCTATATCGAGGTCCCCCCTTCCCCCCCACCCACACACACACACACCACAAGGATGCAACCCAACAACTGCTACCCAAGTCCCAGGTACCTGTATACTACTAGGTGAACAGAACATTAGGTGAAAGGAAACTTGCTCTCCCAATCTTCTGTCCCGGCATGGAATTGAAACCCGGGATTTCCGAGCGTGAACAGAGACCGGGCCTACACGAGTAGCGGGCTGCGATTCGGAGCGTGTTCGTGTTTTTTTTTTCTTTTTTTTTTTTTTAGTCTTTTCTGGCATCTGGTTATTCACCGCTAATTTACCTGGTTATTCACCGCCAATTTACCTGGTTATTCACCGCCAATTTACCTGGTTATTCACCGCCAATTTACCTGGTTATTCACCGCCAATTTACCTGGTTATTCACCGCTAATTTACCTGGTTATTCACCGCCAATTTACCTGGTTATTCACCGCCAATTTACCTGGTTATTCACCGCTAATTTACCTCGTGTTTACAGGACTTAAAGGTTACAAAGGTTAACACAAGACCCAGGACGTGAATATTATTCACCGGCAGTCATACAGGCCATATTGTTATTCACTGAACGACTATACACTATTTACGGGCTATTCATGCCCGTGCCACCGCTTTGGTGGCTTAATCTTTATCAATTAATCAATCGACTGTTCACGTATTTAATCCTAGCAATTGATCACGCAATTTGCAATTTTTATAGACGCAAAAAAATATATATATTGTATCTGGGAATCACAAACCTAACAGCATTGTTCTAATAACTTAAGAAATTTAGTTTTGAAGGAAAAATGTAATAAAATCTTACCTGCTCCTCCATTAATTTAAGACGAGCTCGATGACAGTCCGTCAAGGAATGACTCGTTAAGAGGAATAGTTGGAGGACAGTGTCAATCACCTGTCACTCTAACTGTCATGGTTGACACTTCGTATGAATCTGCATTCTCCCACAGTATACACCTTCCTGTGTATGTGTGTGGCTTTCAGTCTCTTGCTCTCTGGTATATCAATATGTCACTATATTTCGTGATGATATATGTCGTCACCCCATTGCACAACCCGTCCTCGACTCAAGTCCATTACACCCAGCGGTCAACCCCACAGACGCATTCATAAATTTTAACATGCTGTTCATTCAAAACGGGAATTTTCTCAAGTATAAATTAATATTATAATATATTAGCATATTGTGTATATATAGGCATAGGATAGGTTAGGTTAGGTGTTTAGGTTCTGTTGGCGATTATTTGTATTTGTAGTACGTGGGTGAAGCATTTATAGCGTTGTGGTTCGAATAAAATTCGTCAGTGAAGCACTTGTTCCGGAAGTGTTCGAACGTCAGCAGTTGTGAGTCGTGTGTAAACCGCTTTTCATTCATAAACAGGGGGTTTGGCGGGTGCATGGAATCACTTTTGGATCTTTGTTTGGAGGACGGGCTGCATTGCACCAGCACGACTCACACTAAGGAAGTAGCGTAGATGTGTGCAACCCGTCCTCAGAGCAGGTTCATTCCATCCAGGGGTCGAACCCACAGACGCATTCATTAATTTTAACATGCTTGTCTATCAAAATATGAATTTTCTCAAATATAAATTAATATTATTATTATAAATTAGCATACTGGTATATTTAGGCCTTGGTTAGGCGCTTAGGTTCCGTTGGCAATTATTTGTATTTGTAGTACGTGGGTGAAGCATTTACAGCGTTGTGGTTCGAACAAAAGTCGTCAGTGAAGCACTTGTTCCGGAAGTGTTCGAACGTCATCAGTTGTGAGTCGTGTGTGTCAGTCCGTCCTCCAAACAAAGACTCAAAAGTGATTCCATGCACCCGCCAAACCCCCTGTTTATGAATGAAAAGCGGTTTACACACGACTCACAACTGCTGACGTTCGAACATATCCGGAACAAGTGCTTCACTGACGACTTTTGTTCGAATCACAACGCTATAAATGCTTCACCCACGTACTACAAATACAAATAATCGCCAACAGAACCTAAACACCTAACCTAACCTAACCTATGCCTATATATACACAATATGCTAATATATTATAATATAATATTAATTTATATTTGAGAACATTCCCGTTTTGAATGAACAGCATGTTAACATTTATGAATGCGTCTGTGGAGTCGACCGATGGATGGAATGGACTTGAGTCGAGGACGTGTTGGTGAGAGCACAGAGCACGCCTAGTACTGAACACCGAACATAGAAAGTGAAGGGACGACGACGTTTCTGTCCGTCCTGGACCATTCTCAAGTCGATGGTCACATTAAACGTGATGTCTCAATGTGAACATCAGTAGGGATCATGAAAAGGATTCGAACCCACACACACACACACTTGGCACTCCCAAGCACAAGACCTATACCACCACACCACCACATGGCTTCAACTGATTTTCAAAAATTTTTAATTCTTTCGACATAACTGTGGGAAAAGCTAATTACTTGAGTGGATGTTAATCCCAATATGTATATAAATTTGGTGGATAAAGGCACTGATGGCATTGTGTATGTCAGTGGCCTCACTCTCTCATCTTTCCCCACCTCATTCCTGTGGGGAATGATTCATTCCCCACCCCCCACTCGGCCCCCACCATCCGTTCCCCCCATTCTGGGGCCACCACTACCAAGAGGTAAGTGTCTCTGGCGGTGTTTAAGTGTAGATATTTGGGTAAGAGTCTTGGTATTTGAGAGTTCCTTTGGTACCTCAAGCAACGGGGTGAAGATATTTGGTGGCTCTTGGGTTGGCTGGCATGCTTATAATGTTCTGCTTTATGTGTGTTTTTGTTGGTTTGTGTGTGTTTGTGGTTGTTGGTGCTCGGTCAGGTGAGCTGAGAGAGAGAGAGAGAGAGAGAGAGAGAGAGAGAGAGAGAGAGAGAGAGAGAGAGAGAGAGAGAGAGAAAGTGTGTGTGTGTGTGTGTGTGTGTGTACTCACCAAGTACTCACCAAGGAATGCCTTGGTAGCAGTGGTTGTGGGGTTGCTGGTTGATGGTGGGTAGTTAAGATGCATGGATAGTGTTAGTTTTGTGGTGGTCATTGGCTGGTACAGTGGGGGGTTGCTGGTGGTAGGTGGAGGTGATTGTGGTGAAGGTGGTGGTGGCTATATAGTAATTATGACGCTTGTGGTGGTTGCGGTGGTAGTGGTTGACTGGTGACTGTAGTCGTGCCGGTGATTGTGGTAGTAGTAGTAGTGGTGGTGGCGATCGTGAAAGGTTGCATATCACTGCTAGGTAACGTATGAAATATTGCAAGGCAAAGTACATCATTTTACAAAGTGAAGTGGATAATTTAGCAGGGCAAAAACACATATATTTTGCAAAGTTTTGTCCATACTTCAGAGAGGCAAATCAGATAGAACAAGCAAACTGAGTCTGATACTACTGTATGGTAGATATTGCAAAGCTGAACTCCCCTGTAATTTGCAACAAATACATTATTGCCAGATAAACGAGACAGTATTAGCAGATAAAAAATAATATTATTGCAATGTGAAGTACATATTATTGAAATATGTCGTGAATAATGTATTGAAATACATACTAGATATTATGTATTCGGTGTATCTCATGTCTACTCATATCTACTATACTCTACAGTAGATATCATGTCTATTTATGTCTATCTACTTCCCCAGTTCCTGAAAAAAACACCAAACTACTTCCTGTTATTGAGGTGAAGCCAAGACAAATTCTAATGAACGGTTCCGTTTTTATTTCTTATGACAGAAGTAAAGCATCAACACGCAGTCATTAATGGTGGATCCTCATGCAATATTGATGAGCCTGTGCTACGTTGCACACTAATTTGAACACCGTTATTCTCGTATGTAGAGTCATGTTGAGTGTGTGCAACATGTGTGCAATATGTGTGCAACATGTGTGCAACATGTGTGCAACATGTGTGCAATAATATGAATGCTTGCAGGAAATAATTGACAGCTATATCCTTATGATTTTTATTTATCTGTGAAATTGCACATTTGAATGTCAATTTTTTTTTCTTGTACATTGTATTGAATTGCAATTTTGGTGTTCACTAGAGTGTCTATTTGCTAGTTTCGTGTCACGTGACATTTATAAGTCGTGAGTGGTCGTACCTCACCTGTCACTCACAAGTCGTGAGTGGTCGTACTTCACCTGTCACTCACAAGTCGTGAGTGACAGGTCAGTACCCCCCTACACATGGCTATAGACAGGCCAGTACCCCCTACACAAGTATAGACAGACCAGTACCCCATACACAAGCCTATAAACAGACCAGTACCCCATACACAAGTATAGACAGACCAGTACCCCATACACAAGTATAGACAGACCAGTACCCCATACACAAGTATAGACAGACCAGTGCCCCATACACAAGTATAGACAGACCAGTACCCCATACACAAGTATAGACAGACCAGTACCCCATACACAAGGCTATAGACAGGCCAGTACCCCATACACAAGGCTATAGACAGACCAGTACCCCATACACAAGGCTATAGACAGACCAGTATCCCATACACAAGTATAGACAGACCAGTACCCCATACACAAGGCTATAGACAGGCCAGTACCCCATACACAAGGCTATAGACAGACCAGTACCCCCTACACAAGTATAGACAGACCAGTACCCCATACACAAGGCTATAAACAGACCAGTACCCCATACACAAGGCTATAGACAGGCCAGTACCCCATACACAAGTATAGACAGGCCAGTACCCCATACACAAGGCTATAGACAGGCCAGTTCCCCCCTACACAATCCTGTACATGCAACATCCGGCTCCCAAGTTTGACCTTCCAATACTTGCACTTGTCGGTGTATATTAAGGTCCTGAGGCGAACACCGTGTGCAGCGGCGTGTGTCTCCCCTTCTGGCGGCGGCCTGGTGGACCAGCGGCCGCAGCTGCGGCAGCGGCGGACGAAGCAGCCGCAAGCGACGTAGTGGGGGGAAGTCATTCTCCACTGGCGGTGGTGGAGACATGAGCCAGGTATCCATGTTCTAGGTGCTTTGTTCACCTCTGTTTACTGTATTCTGGTAGTCTGTATCCTTGAGCTGTAGCTGTTAAACTAAGGCTATTGCGACTGCTGAAATGGGGTGTTTGGGGGCTGTTCCTGCCTGTTCCCTCCCTCCTGGGCTCCCCCTGGGGTAAATACAGGCCCCCCAAGGGAAAAAGGGAAGAGGGAGGGAGGTTTGGAGGATAGTTTGGGTAAAACCCTTGTTTATACGGGAATTTTTGTGTTTTTTGTTATAAAAATATACTTAATCGGACTTACTCCATCCTTAGTGCAAAGCCATATAGAGCTTCTATTCACCTGGGGCTCTAGGAGACTCGAACCCTGGCCCCCCACGTGTGTGAGGTTGAATCTCTACCGACCGTGCTATTGTGTAGCCTTCATAAGGAAAGTTATTTTTCTTATATTTCCCTATAGTCCTTCTGTATTGAAGATTAACTGTCTTCAAAGTGGATCACTAAACCTCCAGTTGAACTCCAAATGTGTACAATTTACAATCTGGTTGAAGAGGCACATTTGTGGCATCTCTCTAGTGTGACGCCGTATTGTTATAATTTCTCCCTCCACGACCAAGACGCCAACTCAAGAACAGTCCACATCTTTCGTCATGAATGCATGAATTTCGTCATGAATGAATGCAGTCAGACTGCAGTCAGAATGCAGTCAGTATGCAGTCAGAATGCAGCCAGTATGCAGTCAGAATGCAGTCAAAATGCCGTCAGAATGCATTCAGAATGCAGTCAAAATGCCATCAGAATGTAGTCAGAATGCAGTCAGCATGCAGTCAGAATGCAGAGCCTGGCTCCTGATTGGTACCCCTAAAACCATTAACCTCTGAGGGGCGGCCCATATCCCATACTCCCTCCCTCTTTGGAGCAGCTGTGAGAGCAGTTGTGGTGACAATGAGTTATAGTTTAACTTTTTCAGTTGGGGGAAATCCTTATTGACAACTTTTTTACCTTCAGAGTTTGGTAAACTCTGTGGCAAATAGTTTACCATTAATTATCAAGTATTGATCACATTTGTTTCACTAAATATAAAGACATAAATGTAACACAATGATGT